GCAGCAGCAGCAGCAGCAGCTGGCACTTGACATTCTGCCAAATGGGTGGATGGAGAAAAAATAGATCGCCAACGCTCGGGCCAACACACATTGCGGTCGGGCATCGGTTGGGATGGGATGGGAAGAGATGATTAGCAGACACCGTTCCTCTTCTTCTTCTTCTTCTTCATCCTCTCTTTCTTTAGAAGAAGAAGAAGAAGTGAATTCCGAAGTAGATGCTGCTGCCGTGGTTACCTCGAGAAGATTGCGGCAGTCATTTGGAGTGAGTGACTGTGTCTGGTGACACAGTTTTTCCCTCCTCCTCCTCCTCCTCCTCCCAGTACTACACTTCATCTTTTCGGGGTCATGTTTTTTCTTCTTTGCTGTGGCTCAAGCCTTTAGGCTCTCAGCCAGCCACTTCGAAATGGATTTCGAATGTAAATACTGATTTCGCTGTCTCCGATCACCGCCGGTCAACGGTGATGACTTTGTTGTTGCTGCTGCTGAAAAGTGCGAGCAATTAGCATCAGCAGGCAGGCAGGCACCGCCCGTCTTCCGTACAACACAGCCGTAAAAGACTTGTGCTCGAGGAAGAGAACAGCATCATCCAAAGCAAACACAGCTCGGCAGCTTTGCCGAGAAGCTTTGGAGGAGAAGGAAGCTCTGCCGTTTCGACCGCTTTGTGCTGCTGCTGCTGCTGATGCACTACAATGCGACTATTCTTGGCAGATTCTCACTCTCTCTTTCTCACACTCTTCACTACTGTTATTGTTAGCGAGGAGGAGAATGAGAGAAGAAGAAAAAGACAAGCCATCCTGTGGAATGCGTCTGCCTGCCTGAGAGAGAAAAGCAAAAAACTGCTCAAGACAAAAGACGACCGCTGTACGGCTGAGTACGAAGAGCAGGAGAAGATGAAGAAGAGAATAGGTGCTAGAATGGGCGACATCAGTCGGTGCATCAGCATTGGCAGCTATCTCCTGAGCATTCTTTGCCTCGAGTAGCCTCGAAGACTTGAAGACACAGCTAGAAGGCTGCTACTGGCGGCGGCGGTGGCCTATTTTGGAGCAGCAGCAGATGCGCCGCGCACCGACGTACATCGAACACACTGCTGATGTACAGCAGGAACAGGAGCAGCAGCAGGAGAAGCGAGGAAGACTTGGCGGCATCGACGGAGGAATTGGAGGTTAGGAGAAGGAGGCAAAGCATTTGAAAGGCAACTTGCGCTGCCCTCCCCCGCCATGGCAGACCTCCAGGAGAAGAAAAGTAGAGGCAGAAGATGAAGAAGCTGAAGACGGAGACGGAGAAGAAGTTGGCGTCAGGAGGAGAGAGAATCCGTGAAGAGCAGCATCAGCAGCATCAACTGCAGGAATTTATATGAAGACGCCCTTCCACTAAATTCTGCTCTTAAGTGTCCGCCAGAGATTTCGCCCGAGTCAGTCAGTTCCCAGCACCGTCAGCAGCAGCAGCCGCAGCAGCAGCAGTTTGCTTGTTTGTGTGATTTGACTTGTTCTATTTCTACTTGCCCCAGCAGNTGTGATGGACTGTCCACCGGTTGAGTCATCTTTACCATTTCGAACTTCATTCACCACCAATCGACCTACCTACCTACCTTCTTTTTCCCTATTCTGTTTTTTGTGATCACTCTACATCTCATCTTCTCTCTCTTTCTCTCTCCCACCATGCAGGCGGACGAAGTGAAGGAGAAGAAGAAGAAGAGCAAGAAGGCGTCAGAGAAGGCCGCCGAGCCTGCCGCCGCCGCCGCGCCCGCCGAGGAGGCGCCCGCCAAAACCAGCTCCAAGAAGCGAGCCACGCGATCCGGCTCCAATGTCTTTGCCATGTAAGTGCTGTGGCGGTGGTCTTCGACCTTGAGGTCACCTTTAACACTCTACACACCATCCCAGGTTCACCCAGCACCAGGTGGCGGAGTTCAAGGAGGCCTTCCAGTTCATCGACCAGGACAAGGACGGCTTCCTCTCGAAGAACGACATCCGCGCCACCTTCGACTCTCTGGGCCGCATCTGCACCGACTCCGAGCTGGAGGGCATGATCAAGGAGGCGCCCGGCCCCATCAACTTCACCATGTTTCTCACCATCTTCGGCGACCGAACGCAGGGCACCGACGAGGAGGACGTCATCCTCAACGCCTTTGCCCAGTTCGACGAGGGCAACGGCCTGTGCAATGAGGACTCGTAAGTTGACCACCAGTTTGAGAGAGTTCTAAATCGTCTTCTTCTTTTGCTTGGTTTGCTCTATTTACACCTAACCCACTCCCACTTTATCCTCTTCTCTTTCTCTTCTCTTCCTTCCACAGCCTGCGCCACTCGCTGTGCACCTGGGGCGAGAAGTTCAGCGCCTCGGAGGCGGACAACATCCTCGCGGAGGCGCCCAGCGACGGCAAGGGCAACATTGACATCAAGAAGTTCGCACAGCTGCTGACGCGCGGCGACGAGGAGGAGGGTGGTTAAACGAAATTGGAAGTCTGCTGAACAGAGAGGCGATGGCTGGTGCTGGGACTGGGCTGCTGCACTACTGACTTAGATACTTTGAAGAAGAGGAGATCACTAGAACATCACCACCAACACACTACTACCACCACCACACGACCAGCGCCCACAGCAGATCACACACACACATACTCTCACTCACTCACATAGACACTACCACCACCACCACCAGGCAGTGAAGAGTATATATCTTCACTGCCACTGTACGATGATGAGCGGAGTGTGCATCCTGTGCTGCATCTCTGTCCTTGCGCGCTCTATATGATCACACCAATGTACTAACGATGATAATAAAGCACCACCACCACCACCACCATCACCACCACCAGCGGCAATCTCGTTGATGCACTTTGTGTCTGTCTGTCGGTCTGACTTTGCTGATTCTATCTCCCCCTCTCCTTCTCTCTATCATCTCCCTCTTTCGGTGTGTCTGCTGACAGCTTTTTGGGGAAAGTAGAACAGCGGCAGTGGCAGCAGCAGCAGCCTTCCGCACGGCTGTGGCTTCGCTGATAAAGGCAAAAAGACCGTCGATTTGATGGTCACGAGATTTGCACAGAAGAAGAACGTACCCTCACCCTAAGCACTGAAACACACACACCAGTGACACAGTCCTCAGTCTGAAGGGTATCATAACATCACTCTAAAAAATGAAAGGCAGCCTATTTCCCAAAAAACTGCATTTGGG